GAATGATGTACAAATGCGCTTTACACAATTGATGTGTGTATGGATTGTGATAACAGTTGTATGAGCCTCTAATAAAATGTTAAAAAAAAAAAAAGTAACAAGTTAGAATTCAGGTTCTGGAACGACTCAAGACGCAGCTCTCCAATCATGATTGAACTATTGTTGTTAGTTGCCTTTGAGTCGGTCCCAACAGCCTTACATATAAAAGAACAAAACGAGTACCTGTCTTGTGCCATCCTCACAAGTATTTCGACGTTTGAGCCCATTGTTCCAGCCCCGGTGTCAATCCATATGCTGGAAGCATTTTTTTTTCCCACTGCCCCCCTACTTTACTGTTCCTGACATCCAAGGACTTGAGAAGAAATCTTGCCATCCTTGCCTCTCAGGACCGTTCTGGACCTACTTCTTCTTCTTCTTTTTTTTTTTTTTAAGTCATTTTATTAGGGGCTCTTACAGCTCTTATCACAATCCATTCATCCATCCATTGTGTTAAGTACATTTGTACATATGTTGTCAGTGTCATTTTCAAAACATTTTCTTTCTACTTGAGTCCTTGGTATCAACTCCTTATTTTTTCCCTCTCTCCCTTATAAACCCTTGATAATTTATAAATTATAGGAGCTTTTCAAGTCTTACTCTGACCACCCACTTTTCTGTTGTCAGTCCCCCTGGGAGAGGGTTATATATAGTTCATTGGGATGGTTTCCCTCCCCCCACCCCCTTCCCTTACCTTCCTGGTATCACTACTCTCATTATTGGTTCTTAGGGGTTTATCTGTCCTCAATTCCCTGTGTGGCGAGCTCTTATCTGTACCCATGTACATGCTCTGGTCTAGCCGAATTTGTAAGGTAGAATTGGGCTAATGATAGTCATTAAAGAACTAGAGGAAAGCTGTGTGCTTTGTAGGTGCTACACTGCACCCTGACTGGTTCATCTCTTCCTTGCAACCCTTCTGACAGGGGATGTCCAATTGACTACAGATGGGCTTTGGGTCCCCACTCTGCCCTGCCCCTCATTCACATCGATGTGATCTTTTTGTTTTGTTTTGTGTCTTTGACACCTCTTACATGATCCCATTGACACCTCATGATCACACAGGATGGTGTGGCTTTTCCATGTGAGCTTTGTTGCTTCTCAGCTAGATGGCTGCTTGTTTATCTTCAAGCCTTTAAGACCCCAGACACTATATATTTTGATAACTGGGCACCATCAGCTTTCTTCAGATTTGCTTATGCAACCATTTCGTCTTCAGCAATCATGTCAGGGAAGGAGAGCATCACAGAGTACTGGAGTATTAGAACAAAGTGTTCTTGTATTGAGGGAGTACTTGAGTGAGTGGAGGACCAATGTCCATCTGCTGCCTTAATACTTAACAAATAACTGTATGTACATAAATCTATTCCCCTATTGTTATATGTAAATGTATTTACATATATACATGCTTGTGTTTAGGCATCTATCAATGTCCTTTACCTCCTACTCCTTTTCTCTATTTCCTTTTTCTTTCCTCTTTTCCCACTATCATGTTTGGCTTTCATTCAGATTTCTGTAATTCCACTCGGTTACATTGCCTTTGATCAAACTCCCTCCAGGCATCCTATGCCCTCCTTGCCATTGATTTTAGATCACTTATTGTTCTCTTGCCCCTGGGTTTGTTGGCACCCTCTTTCCTTTCCCCCACCTCCCCCTTTCTTATGCCCCTCCCCCCAACAGTTGGTCCTGTTATTTTCTCCTCTGATTGCGTATCCCGCCTATCTTATCTAGATAGACATGAAGAGATAACAATAAGCACAAATACAAAGTATATTAGACAGGGTCCTCTAGAGAAACAAAACCAGAATGCTAATAATTATATATTTATACAGATAGATAGATATATAACATAAGAAATAAACAGTTAATTAAATTATAAAGCAGTACAAATGGCTCAGTGCAACTCTCTCCCGTGAGACAGTTGTGAGACACTGGCAGTCCTTCAAGTCTTGAGGGCCGCTGGGTAGTCCTCTGTAGAGCAATTCAGGCTATACGGGCACAGGCCGCAAACAGTAAGGCAGGTCACCAACAGTCAGCCAGATGACAGTCCCTAGCTCAAGAGATGTAAATTCCAATGCTGTGGCAAAGCAGGTCTTGAAGGAACCTCAAATTACAGTGACACAGTCCATGGATTAGGTGTCCCACAGGTAGTGTAGCTTGCAAATTGAGGCAAAGAACAAGCAAGGCAACCGCACACTGGTCCGATGATCAAAGAGCAAGAGACAAGAGAGGCAAAGCTCGCCGAGCCATTTTATCTCTCTGCCCTTCAACTAATCCCACATGTGTTTATTAGCCAGGTTGGCACAATAAACTAAGTACCTCACAAAGCAAAGCGAAATATAACAACAAAAGAAAAGAAAATAGAAAACAACAACAACAAAACCAACAGCAAGAAAAGAAAAGTCTATAAATAGTTCCAGGTCTG